AGTGGTCCATAACAATGATTCCTACGTTTCACCATGTTGTAAAACCACAACAAAACCGTTGTAAATTTTGATAGCAAGATGTATCGTTACAGAACGAACAAGTTTGTTTTATTACAAATTTTTGGTGCAGGCGGAAGTAAATAACCAGTGTTTTGGAATGAAAATGTGTTTCAGAAAATTTGGCGAATGTTGTTGGATTACAACATGTGTTGTTTTTTAACAACATTTGTTGCTATCAAACTTTACATCAAATGTGTTGTAAATTTACGACAAAATGTTTAACAGTGCAGGTGAAATCCAAGCGGTGTAAACAATAAGTGCACCTGGCGCCCGCTACATATCGCGACAGTCATAGATGGAACGGGGTATAATATAGGGTGTCCCATGCAGGGAGGGATTTTCGCGCCTCATGTTTGAATCATCACTTTGATGTGGCCTACTGAGCTCTGATTCTCTGGCGTCACTCGGTTTGAGTCAACAAAGCGGCGTACGCGCGTCGCAGAGCTAGGCGAGATGAGCAGACCAGCTGTGCCAGATAACAAACTAGTGGCGGGAAAGTCCCCGCCCTGAATAAAGGACAACCTCGGGGCACCCTGCAAGGGATGCACGGAGTAAATATTTAAGTGAGTCGGGCAAAAAGTCCTCGCAACAACCATACATTTTCTACATTTTCCCATTCCCGAGACCCTGCGAGCGCCCCGTCGTCGCTCTGTCACCGCCACGGGCCAGGAGTCCTGCTCCATCCAGCCACGGTTCCAGGGGCCTCCCCGCTCTAGCCTGGAAGGGTGGCTCCAGGGTCATGATTCACACTGGCGTTCAAAAACTTGATCCATTACCGTTTGCGCGAGACGGAGGGACAGGCGAACAAAGGGAGGGAGAGGGCACGAGAGAGCGGTGCCGCGCTGGAAACCAATCCGAATTGATTTAGATTCCAAAAGTGAATTGCCCTCAGAAGGCGAGTGCCATGCGCAAAAAAATCGCATTCATACCCCCCCCCCCTTCCACCATGAAAAGAAGGAAAAAAGGAAAAACAAAAATAGATGGGTAAAAATATATCAGAGGGTCAGCGAAGCCTGAGGAAAAACTTCCCCCTACCGGTATTTCTAAAGTAAAAAGGCCCTCAAGTTGCCTTGTAACTCTCCATCCCCTGCTCGCCCTCTTCTCACTGGACCGTATTGTCGCCAGGGCCTCGGCCAGGGGGCCACCAGCAAGGGGGATAAGGGCGGCATGATAAGGCACAAGTGACGTCCGCCGGGGCCCGCCCGGGGCTGCGGGGGCCCTTGGCCCCGTGGCACTGGCCTCGTGGCCGCAGCGGCCAGGGGGGAGGTTCGACGCCCGCCTCATCCGGGTCGACCTTGGCCCTCGGTGGCGGCCAGAGGGCTCCCAGACGGCGAAATGGGCTTAGTGGAAGAGGACCCCCGGCGGCCCGGACAGGGCGTGAGGCCAGTGGGCTGTGAATGAGGGGGGGGGGGGGGGTCAAGAGGGGCCGAATAAGAGAAAAGAATGTCTCCGGGAAGAGGGTGGCGCTGGGCTTGCTAAAGTGTGCCGCGCCACAGATCTGCGTCGAGTCGCGACTGCTCCTTATCATCCCCGGCCCTAAGCGTCTACCTTACTATACCACACGCCGCGGCGTGGCCCCCCGGGCCGACGGCTCTGAGTTATACTAGCTCTGGTGTCAGCAGTAAGTTAAGTTGTAGTTAGCGCCGGAAGGAGAGAGGGGGGAGGGACTCTAGGAACCTGAGCGATGGCTCTGTCATAGGGCAGAGTGCACGCTATACTCGACAGGTGGTCTAGTTAGTCAGGTTTTTTTAGCAGATGTAGCTTAAATAGCCTTTCACTAAACTTAAAGGATACATAAGTAAGTTTAAGGTGTCAGCTAGCTTTTTTGCTTTAAAATAAAAACTGAGCAAAATTGTGGCAAAATTGTCTCCAAAACACGACAAAACAGGAACATTTATCTTTGTTTCAAGAACTGGGCCTTTCTGTGTGTAGTAAAGCAGGGCAGCAAAGTCGGTCATTTTCATAAAGCCATAAATTTGCCAAAGACCGGCCATAGCCCAGGAAAATTCGCGACACACAAAAAGAGGTACTGTTTCGTCGGCAAGGTGGGTGTGGTTGGACAGAGCGGGGCGCGGCGCGGCGAGGCGCGGCTGGTCATGCTGAGTTGTGGGTAGCTGCGCTTGAGGACCGGTCACGCAAGACGCCTATCTGCTGCATCAATTAGGGACCGGCAAAGTGGCAGATTTGGGGCGTTCGTGGCGCGAAGATGCAGCGCAGAGGTGACAGTCTGACAGGCGGTGCTTTGGTACCCTCCTACTTTTCATTAAATCCAGAGGGTGGCATTCCCTGTAATTCGTTTCACTTACAAAATGAAAGAAAAGAGTTTGGTAATAAGTCCATGGTAATACTAGTCCCCGCGTCATTTTACTCGAGTGTACGAAAGGCTAGACCCCCGATCATCTAACTATCGAGTAGTGACTGTTTCCACAAACTGATAAAAAACATAAGCAGGTCTCCGAGGTGTCAAGGATGGCCATCGCCTTTCTCGTCTCGTCTGGCGCCAAACCGATGGTAGTTTTTTTTTGCCGCACATTTAAGTCGCGGTTTTGGTTTTCGGGCGCGGTCGCGAAAACACCCCCTTGCATGTGGGTCAATGTCGGCGCGAACACACCCCCCGCCCTGGGCGTGGAGTAGAGCGGCCACACCCCAAACGCGCCGCCGGCCGGGGAGAGTCACTCGAGGCAAAGAGTATCGCGGCACAACCGCCCCCTGACCTTACCCCACTGCGCCGCGTTGCACCCCGCCCACGACCACGATACACGTGATTTAAAACTCCCTCGCGGCGCAAAAGCGGGCGCGCTTGGTGCCGAAAAAGAAAAGACAACAGAACACAACAACAAAGAGCGTCGTCGTCGTGCAAAGTTCCTCCAAGATCAAGAGCGATTACCGCCACCACGCCTCGCCATCCAGTTGCAACACTTGTCTGGACCGGGCCCGGCGAGTGGCCGCACGCCCTACACTGCCAGGCCCGGCTTATTAGTATCGGCCGGTGTGTCATTTGGATTTAATTTTATTCCCACCCGGACTGTGCGCCGGCCGGCCGGTGGCAGGGCCTTGGGGGAGGAGGAGGCGAGCAGCCAGACTAATTGGCGTCGCCCACCCCGGCCCAAAACGGATAGACACTTGGCTATTATGAACCGCACAGCTTAACGCTCGCCTCTCTCTCTCTCTCTCTCTCTCTCTCTCTCTCTCTCTCTCTCTCTCTCTCTTCTGACGCAGCGGTGCGTGGCCCACCGGCCCCCGCTGCAGGGCGCACCGCACGACACGCCGGTCCCGTCACCACCGGCAGTCACCGTGGGCGAGGTCAAGCAGGGCCAGCAGCAGCAGCCGGACCCTGCATGGCTCTGGGTTTGTTGACGCAACGCCCTGTGGCTTCCAATAAGGCGAAAACGAAAAATGCTCCACTAATTGCCCCCCGGCCATGACACGCATGCCTTCTTCTTCTTCTTCTTCTTCTTCTTCTTCTTCTTCTTCTTCTTCTTCTCCTTCTTTTTCTTCTTTTTCTTCCCCTTCTTGCAGGGCTCGCTCACGCACGCATACACAATGACCCGATAGACTACACGACTTGCAAAACGAAGGATCACATTGCTTTTGAGCAGCACGACGACGAGGAAGGCAACCTAACCTCTCTAAACGCGGCAGTCCGGCACCCGATACGACCGAACATTGCAGACGGTAGGGATGCAGAAGCTGAACCACCCCGTTTCAAAACTGACTTACACTCTGCATCACAGAAAAGGACTTTTGGGGGGGCTGATCAAACCTAAAACAACGTGACAAAGTTGGTATCTTTATGCTACTTAGGGAGGGTTAATAGTTGCGCGTCTTGTAATACGCGCTCTCAGATGCGTCTTATTGCAAATGGATAAAAACTATCGCTTCGTGGTGACGTGTTTTGGTCACCATCACGTCAAAACGTGAAGCTCTCGAGACATCATCTGGGCGCGCAGCGTGGCGACCCGCAGAGCGTTGACCCGCCGCGCCTCCCGCTCCTCGATCAGCTGTTCCGGCGGCGGCACACCTCCGGATCCGGACTGCGATGCGGCAACAGCCGCGAGCGAGAGCGAGAGAAGGGGCCAGAGAGAGGGAGAGACAGAGAAGGAGACGACCGCCTGCAGCTGGCCCCCTCCTCCCCTCTGTCTCTCTCCAGGAGCGGGAACACGTCCGGTCCTCCGGTCTGGCCGGCGTTCCCCCCCGCGAGCAGGGTCAAGTTCAACGTCCACGCACTTGCGCGGGCGCGGGCGCCGGCACGGCAGCCGCAGAGCGAGCGGCGCGCAGACACCCCGCCGGATAGGCAACCCAACTGGCGCCAGAGGATGATGAATCTAGCAACCCTCCTGGAGGAGGTGCGCCCCGCATATCCGAAATAATGGTCATTTGGGAAAAGTTTCATGCCTAAGAATTTTAAGAACTGGAAAAATTGACAAAAAATGAAATATTTCAAGGAAAAAATGGGAAAACAAAAATTATCACAGGAGATATGAAAGACATCTTAATCTATTTTTCGAAAACTATTTTTCGAAAACTTTACCGGGTAGTTAAAATCCCTATTCACGCCACTCCGGTCACCCAGTGTAACCTTCTAACCTGATGACATCCTGACATCATCACATTAAATATAGAATTCTACAAAATGATATGTTGATATACGGCCGTGACAGATTGGTCGGGGTATACTTGTCCTATGTATGCACATGCACGCAGGGTTCTGCTTACAACCGGAGACGCCACCACATTGCGAGTGAGCTCTGTTCTTTACATTTTGTGGGAGCATCAACTCCTACACGCCCCTGCCACTTTCAACGCAATATTCTCCTCCCCCTCGGCTGCCTGTTGCCTGTTGTTGTTGCAAAGAAAATGACGGCCTGGTCGGGTAATTCGAGACCGTTTTTGCCACAGCCACAGGGTATAGGGGTCTGGCTACTTCCACCGAAATGAAATAAGTTCTCGTAAAATAAAAATCGGTCGAGTGACGAGCTGCCTTGGACAAGGGCTGCGCGCAGCCTCCTCGTGAAGCAGGTTCCCAGCAAGGCCACGGGCAGTGCGGGCGGCGGAGAGGGGCAGGGCCGGCGTGCGGGGTGAGTGCAGAATCTGGTGCGGGATCGGGCGGGCCAGCGCGGGCCAGCCGTGGCGGGGGTACGTTTTGGAGCGTAGTATAAAAGGCAAACTCTGAGCAGCGGTCGACATTCAAACACAAGTGTTCGAAGCAACAACAGCTCAGCAGCACCATGAGGTTCTTTGTGAGTATTCGAATGATTAAGAAAAGGGCACAAGATGCATCGTAATGAAACCACAAACGTGCATTTAGAAGAAGACTACCTTGCGCTAACAAACTTCTGCTTCTCCTTCAGGTCGTGCTCGTCGCCGTGCTCGCCGTTGTCGCCGCTGGCGACAAGAAGGTGAACAAGCGCGGTCTGGTATCCAGCCTGGGCTACGGCTCCAGCTACGGCTACTCCGGCCTCGGCTCCGGCCTGGGCTACGGCTCCAGCTTGGGCTACTCTGGTCTCGGCCTCAGCTCCGGCCTCGGCTACTCTAGCCTCGGCTACTCTGGCCTCAGCTCCGGCTTGGGTTACTCTGGTCTCGGCTACTCTGGTCTTGGATACTCCGGCCTGGGCCACGCCAAGCTGATCTCTGAGAGCTCGCACACCACCATCGCCAGGAAGATCGGAGTCCCCGTGGCCGCCCCCTACGCCGTCCCCGTGGAGAGGAACATCGCCGTGCCTGTTCCCCACCCCGTGGCCGTGCCCGTCGACAGGCCTTACCCCGTGCCTGTGCCCGCCCCCTACGCCGTGCCCGTCGACAAGCCCTACGCCGTGCCCGTTGAGAGGGCTGTCCCCGTCCCTGTGCCCCACGCCGTGCCCGTGCCCGTCCACGAGCCTGTCCCCTACCCCGTCCACGAGCCTGTGGCCGTGCCCGTCATCAACAAGGTGGCCGTCCCCGTGCCCGTCCCCCACGCCGTGCCCGTGATCAAGAGCCACTCGTACGCCGCCCCCGCCCTCGCCTACGGCGGTGCCTACGGCGGCTCCCTCGCCTACGGAGCCTCCTCTCTGGGCTACAACGCGTGGTGAAGTGATATCGTGTGAAATAGACACTTGTGTATTGTGTGTAGTGTGAGTGTGTGAGTGAATGTATAAATGTGTGAATCCTGTGTGTTCCTTTGTTAAATGTGTGTGTGTACCGAGTGAGTCGCATTAGCGTCTAGTCGAGCATCTTCATCCGCCATTCTAGAGACCCCACTCATCCATGAATCGATTCCGATAAGGTGTCATTGACCTATGTCTCTTATGTTATGCATTTCATAAATGCCACCAAATAAACAATCAAACGAAACATTTCTTTCACTTATCAGAATATTACCACCTTGTCAACCCCTACCGCAAAACCCTACAGCAGCGCGCAAGACAGTGTGCCAAGCTGCAACAAACTTGCAAAAAGTGGAAAATGTACAAACGCTTGTTAAAAAGCGGCGACTTCGACTTCAGAGTCAGAATTATGATCATAACAAATAAACACTAGTATCTAGTTTAAATAATTTGTCAACATAACATCAAAGTGACAAAAAATGACCTCGTACTACACGCTGTGCATGCACATCTCGATGCAGATGTTTGCCACCATCGTTTGCAACATTACAACAAAGAGAGAGAAAAGGGGACAGGGGGGAGAGAAATAGAAAAACAGAGCGAGAGAGGGCGATAGATAGAGGAGAAATGAGGGAAGGGGGTATAGTGAAGGAGAGAGAAAGGATAGAGCGATAGAGGAGACGAGAATGGGAGAAAGGGGAGTAGGGGAATAAGGGGAGG